TTGGAAGTTGTATGATAGAATATGAAGGCTCATTATTACATTCCCCACTTCTGTACATATTTGAAATTTTCCATGACAAAAAAAAAATTCTTAATTTGGAAAAACAGAAATTTCCAAAGTAAATCAACACAACATAGGCACTCACTGGAAACGTGCTGATGGGAGGGAGGGAGGTATCTGGGGCAGCGTTCAAGTTTCTGGGGTGGAATGAATGGAGGTGCTTTTACCAGATCTGGGGAAACGGGCTCATGCAGAATAAGGAGTTCTGCTTCGGTCATGTTGACTATGGGGTCCCTGTGGAAGGAGAGGGGCTGCACATGAGGTTGGTGCAAATACTGGATCAAGAGAGACATGGGGTCAGTGGGTGATGTCTTGGGGAAAGCTGTAAAGAAAGGGTCTCAAAAGGGGTGGAGAAATGGACACACAGAAGAGCCAGATAGTATCTCAGAAATGAGGGGCCCAGAAAGAGGTCTAGAATACTTTTTAAAAGGAGGCTCAGATTCACACCATGTACAAAAATTAACTCAAAATGGCTTTACGATCTAAGTTTAAGAGCTAAAGTTATTAAAACCTCTAGTAAGTATAAATCCTTTTAATTACTTAAAAATCTTAGATGTCGCTGTAAATCTTTTTAAGATACGTGATATTTAAAGTAATACATTTGCAGCTCAAACAGGTTCTGATTGTGCTTTTCAGGTTTAACCAACTGAATACATAAGACTACTTTGAGGACGGCTGCATCTGCACATTTCAGCATGAGACTTAGGCCATTTTTCTCTCTTCCTCTTGAATCGCCTCTTTCAGCTATGGTTCAAGGTGGAGTTTACCCTATTTTGTCCACTGCTGCTTAGGCAAGACCCACTACTCCACAGTTGGGTCCAGCGTCTCTTAATGCATTTAGTGCAAAACATCCTGTCATGAAGGTCCTCAGGAAGTGCTTCTATGCCTTTTGTTGTACCACCATTCTCTTACGGTGGTGTCATCATGAACTCACCCCAGTTTACTGAACCCGGCACCGCACCATTTTCAAACACCCACCAGCCCCTGGCCTGATGTTGCACCAGCTGTCTGCTTGCTGCTTTGACTCAAGGTTGATTCATGCTCATTGTAAACCTTTATGATTTTGGACAAGGAAAAAAATTAGAGGACACTAAAAGCATAAGCAAACAAAAATTAAATAAATTGGACCTTATCAAAATCAAAAACCTACATGAGTCAAAGGAACTATTAAGGACATGAAGACAACCTACAGAATAGGAGAAAATACTCGCAAACCCTTATCTGGTAAGAATCGAATAATCCAGAATATAGAAGAATTCTGCACCTCACAGGTTTATTAAAAAGATAGTCTCATTAAAGAACTTGAATGGGCATTTCTCAAAGAAATAAATAATAAACAGCCAACTAAGGACAAGAGAGATGCTCAGGCTTCTGGTCAACAGAGAAACGCGAGTCAGCACAGTGCAGTAGCGGGCACGCCCGTGACAAAGGCGGGATCTGAGTGTGAATGACAACATGGGGCAGCTGGCGCTCACACCGCTGGGAGCAAATGCTGCCGCTACAGAAGAAAACATCTGGCAAGAACACTACACTGGAGAAAGAGGTTGGAAGGCAGTTACAGAACAACTAAGTGCAGGGACGGGGCACAGCACAGTGCCCACTGTCAATGACCCATTTCGCCTCTGGAAGTCACCAAGAGCGGACCTTAAAAGTCTATGTCACAAAAAAATTGGTAACTAGATAAGGTAAATAACTGAATTCTTAAAACTGCAGACCCTATGGGCATTATTTTATATGAATTGGGAAGGGTCTCAGTCATTTTTCCCGAATCTTCAATTATTTAAGCTTTAGATTCAGTGTCACAGAAGTATGCTTGGAACAAACAGGCTTCAGAGCCAAGAGACATGAAGTTCATAAATTTATTGATCTGGAATAAAAAAAGAGGAGTGGCTATTTCTGCTTCGCTTCCCCGATGATCCACATTGATTAAAACATTATGCATTCTATAAGCGTGTAAATTTCTTGAAATTTTTTTTTATCATTAGAGAAACCCAATGGAGAAGTGCTAGTTGTGGACTAGTTTGCACTAGGGCCAGAATAGATAGAGAGTAGGACTCAGGTAATTTTTAGTTCATCCATTAAAAAGCAAAATGAGGGCCCTCCCTGGTGGCGCAGCGGGTTAAAGCACAGCACTAAGAAGCTGAAACCACTTCTGCATGAGTTCGATCCCCGCCTGCCTCGGAGGTGACCACATGGCGCCCAGCAGACCTCTCCTGACCCGCCCGCTGCTCCCCTCAGCAGTGTGTACTTAGTCGATCTGCCTGTGCTGCTCCCCACTCTGTCTCTGGTGAATCCTCTCACCCTCCGCATCTCTGGCCTGTACCCCAGTTCTGTATGCATAAATAAATAAATCTTAAAAAAACAAAAATGAAAGTTAACTACCACGACCCAGCAATTCCACTTTGAAGGATGTGCCTCAATCGAAAACGTATAAACAAATTCAGAGCTGAGAGTAGCATTATTCGTAACAGCTCAAGTGGAGACCCCGACAAGTGAACTGTGGTATGTCTACTCCGTGGAACCTCTGGCAACAGAGGAATGAACTACTTATGTGGCTGAGCTTTGAAAAGGAAAGCTGCTCACAGACTGCACTGTAAGACCCACCTACCGGCACGCTCAGAACAGGTTGGGGAAAGCAGGTTCGTCTACACTGGAAGAGAATGTGGGGGCTGCCAACATGTAGTGGGGTTCTTTTTGGATGAAAATACGCTACAATTGTACAGCCTTGCAAAATATATGAAAACCAGTGAATCGCATGCTTTCAGGTAGCCTGAATTTTAAAGGCGGGTTGTGCGTAGCAGCGTCAGGCAGCAGCGAAGCCAGGCAGGTTGAGGCCGAGACCCCATGGGCTGCGCAGTTATCAGCTTGTCCAAATAGCCCCTTTCCTCGCTCTTCATCCCTCCCCCATTCCAATCGTTTTGTCTGAATCTAGATTCTGTGGCTCCATCTCTCACCATGACTGGCCTAAGAGTGGGCAGTTGACCCAGTGGTGTCCAATGCAAGTTTGGCACCTGAGGGAGAAGTGCACTTCAGGACTTCTCTTGAGATGCAAATCCTCTTGCTGGTTAAGCCTTCTCCCTCCAAGAGTAGAAAGCATCCTGTTAGGGCTTACTGCTGACTCAGAGCTGGGTTAGAAGGGCTTGGAGACTGCTGAAAGGAACCACGTCTGTGATCTGTGATGACCTGTCTTGGCTGTCCCTACACTGCTGTTTTTACAACCGAGGCATCACCAGCAGCACTGCTTGAGCATTGCTTCCCTCACACTTCAAGAACGCAGGCCTCAGGTCCGCAACTCAGTGGGCTCCCTCCTCCTTGCCCTCCCTCTGACCATCCCCTCAGGAAACCACCATTTGTTATGTAAGAGACAGGGCTTATTTGTTCTTTGCCTAGTTTCTTGGTAATTGAGTGGAACTGTATTGTATTTTTCTTACTCCACTGAGCATAACTTCAAGGTCCACCTATGTTGTCCCAAATGGCAATTAAGAAAAAAGCCAAGTAGTCAGTATTCTACCGCCTTTATTCATTCGCTCATCAGCGGGCACCAGGCTGTTCTCACATCTCAACGATAATGAATGAGTGATGAACAGAAGGCAGCCTGCTCAGCTCCTGTTCTTGGGATAAATACCTCGAAGTGGAACTGCTGGATCATAGGGTGGGTCTATTTATAATTTGAGGAAACTCCATACTGCTTTCCACAGTGGCTACACCAATTTACATTCCCGCCAACAGTGTTCGAGGTTTACCACATTTTCTTGTCTGGTTTCTTTTTTAAGCCCAGACACTCCTGTGGTCCAGTCAGCCAAACAAAATAAATGTTTTCCAGAGGAAAAATAGTTCAAGCTCACCCTAATTTCTAGGTACAGAAATTTCTAGTATTAGTTTACCTCAGCCAGTCACTTGTTTAACTATAAAAAAAGGACCACACCTACTGTCCCAAGGACCAGTAGTGCACTGCACCTTCTGTGTCCGAACACCTATCCTATCCTGATAAGGCCAGCTACAGCTTTCTCAAATCCCACTTGCGTCAAACACCAGGCTTTGTTCCCCTAACAGCTAGTGGTGTCCTCGGATTTCTCCCCATGAATAAAAACTAAGAATCTATAACCCAGAACTATGTGGCAAATTGGTGGAAATTCCTTTAAGTAGACATCTTACTTTATCCAAAAGGTCTCCCCCAAAGTTGAGGGTTTCAACTGTCTTTACTAAACTACATTTTTCCACTACCTAGAATGAGTTTTTTCCTGAGGTATTATCCACAAAAAGGGTGTTAACACTCACAGGACTGAATACTGAACACACTTAAGAAGAGTCTGATAGTTCATTTTTGCCTAAGGGGCTAAGCAAGGTAAGGGCTTGTTTTCAATTTGCTTTATTCCCCTCAAACAGTAGGTGAGCTGTGAAAACAAACCAAATTCTAAGCTCCCATTTTCTAACACATAACATCTTACTTCACTGGAGTTTGAAAAGGGTTCCCTGCAGGGTCTCCACTAAGCCAGCAGTAATGTCCCCACTAACACCTTTAGTTTTGAAGCTAAAGTAGTTCATCAAAATGAACAAGTTTCATAAACGCTCAAAAAACTTGCTGGTCTGCAAGTCTACGTACCATCTGCTTAGAGAGGTGACATCGTTATTCAAAGATTTTAGTTGCTAACTCGCTTATTTACAGGTCTTAATGTGACCGGAAACTATCTTGCTGCCAGTTACCATTCCAAACCTTGGATCCACCCAAAATCTGCACTTAGGAAAATACACTTCAGATAAAGCTGCATAACCAAATACAGAAACCACGTCTCTGCTCCAGCCTCATTCACCAGTCCACTCCGGGGCTCTCTCCCAATTGCATGGACACTGTTGTTCTACATTTCACACCAGAATGCATCCTGCCCCAAGACTTGGGGAAACCAGTCTCCTCCGTTCCTGGGAAAAGATTAGAAGCAGCATTCCAAGCCAAACTGTATCCAGCTTTATTAAAGATACTTTTCATAAACAATCATGGTATTTCAGGCAGGATATGGGCAGACAATCATTAACAGTATACAACAACTTTCAAACTCCCCTCTTCAATGGACTACCAAAATCAGAAAGCCACTATAAAACCCAATGAAGTCTTCATTTGATGCTCTGAACAGGGCAAGTTTAGAGTGAGGGTTGACATTTCACATTTAGCATGTTGTTTAACAACTTTTCACAAGCCGACCCTGACTTTCAGGTAATGAAATGAAAATGGCAGATTTATCAATCTGAAGGTCCACAATCTAAAAAAAGGAACCGCTCTGCTCTTTTAAAGGATGCCGTGCTGTCTCAGTGGAGACACGGTGAAGTCTGGATTGCCTGATATACTGAGAACCACTTTTCGGTTGTCAGGTCTCAGGGCGAAAGGGAGTCAAGTCTATGCTGAAGGCAGAGAGGGAGGACATAAAAATGAATCTGAGTTTTTCCCTATATGGCATCTGTGCCAAGGTGGCTAATGTGTGTCAACATCAAGGAATCCCTCCTCCTGGGAACCAAGAGGAAGTCTCTCAAAACTAGAAGGGAAAGGTTTGCTCTCCCTCATCAATCCAGCTTTGGAGACGTTCTATTAGTGACATATGCCCTTCCCCAAAAAACAACAATGAAGTGTTCTGTGTGCTAACAACATAGCTTTAAAAAAAAAAAAAAAGTAAAACAAAAATTCTGCATTTTTATAAAACTTGATAAAAAATAGTATTTCAAACTGTACAGTCACCAGAAGTACACAGTTATCAAAAATGCACACACTTCACTTGGCATCTCCAGCACCTTCAGCTTTTTGTGCCTAAAAGAGAAACACACAGATTAATAAGACACACAGACCCGACACTACCTTCCTTCATGTGCCTTCTACAGGGTTACTTTGCTCAGAGTTCAGATTTGAGGTACTTCTGCTAAGCCACCCCCCCCCCAGGGCCTTACTGAAGACATGGGAAGGGGCCACCCCCACTGGAAAACCATGGTGTGGCACAAGCATGGCTTGTAATGGCAGGACAAGGCTCTTACTGCACAGCCTGCAAATAGGAGAACCATAAGCAACCTCTGAAATCAAAGGCTGCAGACACAGGAAAATGACCATCCAAGCATTGGGTTAAGTGCGCAGATTCAAGTCAAGTGAACAAGTTGTACCTGGTCTGTTTTGGCATCTCCATTTTCTGCAGGGTTATTCCCGTCCTTGCCAGCATCAGCTTTACCCTTTTTTCCTTTGGGTACCTTCTCGCCCTTCTATGGGGTGTGTGAGGAGAAAAGAGGCTTCTTATTTCAGATTACCTGGCTATGGCCTAAGAAATTCCCTATCATAGAAGTGTTTATTGATAAACATGCTAAAACAACCCCCCCACCAAAAACCCACTTAAACTAGACAAATCTACCATTTGCTTAAATCTTCAGAATACAGAATTTAGATGTATACTGAAAAAAGTGGCAACTTATTGGGTATTTAATATCCAAGTGCAAAATTTTTGGCAAACTGTTGACAGTTCTTGATGACCACCCAGTCTCCAGCTGTCAACAGCTGCGGCTACCATACAGCACAGATCCCTGGCAGCATCAGGGGAAGCGTAAGCTCACACGGCTCGCAGGGTGCCTGAATCCAGCTCACCTTTGCAGGAGCCTTTTTAGGCTTGGGCTCTGGCTTTGGAGGAGCAGGTTTCTTTTATGGTGGAGAGAGAGAAGAACACATTAGTGTGAGAACCAAGGACAATTGCCCGCAACCAAATCATGCCACCACACAAGGAAGCGCCTACTCAGAAAGTTATTGTGGCTGGTTTCCCTTAAGACTTTCCTAGCTTCCAACGCGCATACTCAACTAACCAAGCGTCCCAATTTAGCTACAGCCACCAGAACCGCAAATCTCAAATGTGCAAGAGCCCACAGTGGAGTATGTCATTCAAGACCTGACGGCCATAATTCACCAAGAGCAAAGAGAAGTTTTCAACGACCCCTCGTTTCAGGGACAAACACGAACACTTAAAGGCAGACACTTACAGCAGATAACCTTGCAGATCTTCTCTGTGGCTATTTGAGGGGAGGGAAAAAAAGGAAAACAGCCCTGTTAAACCATCGAAGAATAAAAGTTCTGGAGCTAATCTGTTCTAGCACACGGAAGTTCAGAGTGCTTCGGGCAAAATCAAGGCCATGGTCAATGGCTAACACACACAGGGGTCCAGGGCTTTTTAAGACTCCAAAGAGGACACACTCACCTCGTCCTTCACCTTGGCTTTATCTCCTTTAGCATCCCCTTCAGCCTATAAAAAACAAAAACGAAGTCGCTCTTTCTGAAGCAAATCTTAACGAATCTCGAGTTCAGTCGCCCTAGGCGCAGAAGGCCACACAAGTGGTCAGTTTTTAGCACCCAGGGTTGGCAGGCCAGAGCCCCAAGGCTCGGCGCTGCAGGCGCGCCCACCGTGGCGCCGCTCC